GGGTCATAGATCACATTTTAGGAAATACTGTTTTATAGTTTTGTGTGCATTCTGATATAACTGCAGTTTCTATAGCTTGGATTGTTAGAAATGACTTTGTAACAACTGGAAGAAAGGCATATTAATTTGGAATTAATTCTGAGCTTGATACAGTAAATTCTTAAGACTGTATTTTCAGAGCCAAAATCAAAAGTGGGCAAAATTCAGAATATTCTTTACTAGCTTTTATATAATTAAGTAAGAAATGGTTGAACTTTCTATTGAACTGATTAAACTTTTCTATTTCATCCCAGTAAATAATGTATTTGGCTAACACCCCACATTTATGCCACTGGCAGTTAAACATGAATAATGTAGGCTTTCTTTAACCAGGAGTTTTGCGCTGCGGCAGCCTCCCCTTTGTCCTCCGCACTGGCCAAAGCATTGCCTGACGTTCCAGCTGACGGGCGCGTGTCAGCGGCCCTTGGGGGCCATGCAAGCCCTGGCAACTGCTCCAGCCGAAGAAGCAGGCTGCTGGGAGGCGCCGCAGCACCAAACTCCTGCGCCCATCAGCTGGCGACCCCTGGACCTGCACCCGTGAGCTGGAATGTCAGGCAACACTTTGGCAGGTGTGGAGGGCGAAGGGGAGGCCCCCACAGCGCAGAACTCCTGCACCCATCAGCTGGGAGGTCTGGCGACGGAGCCGGCTGATGTGGAGGGCAATGGGGAGGCGGCGGCTTGGTGGGTGGGGTCCACCTGCCCGCGAATGTCGGGCCCACTCGCCCCATCTGTAAAAGAAAAAATCTTCCGCCCAAGCATAACGCCAGCAGTTCTGTGCCACAGAGGATTGATATACGGAGGCGCAGTACGCGGAGCAGTGGGTGCCGTGGGAGACGGCAGGACAGGGAGGATGGGTTACCTGCATCCTACCAGCCGAATTCTGAAAGCTTGCCTGAATGAAGAATTTTAGGGGGTGTTGAAAGCGAGACAGACTGAGGGCTGTATTAAGACCATAGAGATGGCTGCGTAAAGAGAGTGGAAGGGAGGCGAATTTGGGGTGGAGCAGAAAACGGGGGGGGGGGAGGCATTAGGAAATAAGCACCAAGGTACATGGTGCCTGGCAAGGGATTCCCGAGTGTTCCGCAATTGTTTTTCCTCTCTCCTCTGCACGAGAAAAACTTTTGCAGCGTAAATCTTAAACCAGGTGTTCCTGTGAGGTGGCGCAGGAGGTTCTTGGGAGAGGCGAGGACAAGCTTGGCGTTTCCTCTCTCCCAATCCTCTACCTCTTCTTCACCCCCTTCCCTGGCCTGCCTGCGATCTGAGCTTGCGGCTCTGTGGCTTTTCTTTGCCTAGCCTAGCCAAGCTTTCTTCCACCCGCCCCATTCCCGGGAGCGCCGAGGAGGTATGGCAGAAACACATGAATTGGGATTGTGGCGCCCTTGGGAAGCTGATCATGCTTTGAACCTTAGGAGAGGGGGGGAGTCCCTTCCTCCTTCTTTCCCTCTCTCCCTGTCAAGCCCCGGCAGGCTCAACATGAATGGGCTGGGGGAGGGGTCGAGGACGACGTGCAGGGTAGCAAAGGAGATAGGCGCCCGGTGCCTGGGCCAGACCTCTCAGCTGACAAGCGCAAGTTTGGGGGGTCGCCAGCTGATAGGCGCAGGAGTTCGGTGCTGCGGCTGCTTCCCCTTCGCTGATCTGAGTGTACGAGAAGTCAAACCAGTTGCTGCACAATGAGTCCCTGGGAAGGGCGGGGCCTTGCTCTGCGCCTGCACTCTTCACGAGCCTCCTGCAGGGCACATTTGGTAAAGTTCGTGCAGGCTGCCGCCAAGCAGCATATTTTCTACAAACAAGTGAAGTGAGAAGGAGCGGAGGGGGGGAGAAAGGCGACGCCGCGGGGGGGAGGAAGGCGATGCCGCATACCACCAGCCAGGTGGTCGCGTACCACAAGTGGTACACGTACCACCGGTTGAAAAGCCCTGCCTTAGAGAGTAATGTTAGGAAAAATGTTGTCCAAATAATCCATAGCTTTTGCTTTTGAACTTTCAATTTCAGTGTGTGTGTATGTGTGTGTGTGTTTATGCTAATACCACTTTATAACACCTTGGTAAGGCCACACTTGGAATACTGCATCCAGTTTTGGTCACCACGATGTAAAAAAGATGATGAGATACTAGAAAGAATACATAGAAGAGCAACAAAGATGATTAGGGGACTGGAGGCTAAAACATACAAAGAATGATTGCTGGAATTGGGTATGTCTAGTTTAATGAAGAGAAAGAGTAGGGGTGACATGATAGCAGTGTTCCAATATCTCAGGGGTTGCCACAAAGAAGAGGGAGTCAAGCTATTCTCCAAAGCACCTGAAGGCAGGACAAGAAGCGATGGATGGAAACTAATCAAAGAGAGAAACAACCTAGAACTAAGGAGAAATATCCTGACAGTTAGAACAATTAATCAGTGGAACAACCTACCTCCGGAATTTTCAAACTGCAACTAGTTTCTCAATTCTTTTTATGTATTCACTTTCCCATGATTGTGTCTACATCAGTGTTGTGTGCACAAGGGCATTTAAATATTTATCAGTTTCTTTTCATTTTGTGCAGAAGGCAGAAAAATTAGGCAAATGAAAAACAAGGCATGTCTAACTGGAAACAGAAACATTGGCCAATTATATAAAAACAGTACATGGCACTGTTTAAATTCTTACTGTGCAATGTATGGAAGCATAATATCAAAGATTTGTTTGATTAATAATCTTAGCAATGAAGTAACAGTGTTATCTAACACTGTTGGGTTGTGGTTTTTATCTGAGTTTGCCATATACAAACTACAAAGCAAAATTGAATGTAAATGTTAGAGTATAGCTTAGTTTAATTTATTACACTTGTCATAAAGATTAAGAAAATGTAATTTGAAAGTGCTTAGAATATTACATTTTCAAAGTGTGTACTTTCTCACTCTGAACAATATTCAAACTTACTTTATTAGATTTTTGTATGAGGGTTTCCTAGTTTTACAAGCTAGACTCCTGGTAATCTAGCTCTTGTTTTTTATTTGATTATTTGTTCATTTGTTGTGTGCATGGGCAAAGAAGCAAATGATATATGTATACTAAGATATTATAGTAAATGTCATTTTTATTTCATTAGTTTTTTTAAACAGAAGCTACTGTCCTAGTCATCTTATGTACTATGCTATGATGGTTTTGAATGTGTTGCTTTTATTGTAAACAATCAAAAGAGTGGCAACAAAATATACCTTTAAAAATCTATGATAGGAAATTGGAGTTCTGAATTCACTATATTTTCATGTATCTTGTTTAAAAATCATGGAGGTTATCAGTTTAGATTTTCTGTGCAATGGTAACCAACTAATATGAAATGAGAGGCATAAAGTATTTCATTCTGGATTTCCTCAAGCTAAATGAATTCGTGTAGTAACTTTCTTATTTAATTACTAAGTTATCTGAACTTTGAAAATGTTCCTATAAAGGGACTTTTATTAGATAGGCAAAGAATGTTTTATTAAATGCTTAGATAATTACAATAATTTTTTATTTTAATTTATTAACCCAGCAAAGTGAGATTCTGCCAGATGTTTGAACAAATTTAATGAAGTACAGTAAAACCTTGAATTAACAGATGGGGGAAACGATGTGTGTTAAATCCAAAAATCCATTAAATTCAAATTTATCTCAATGACATTATAAAAGCTATTATGTATTTATGTTTATATTTATGCCATTGACAAAGTGATGTAAAAAAGTCAATTATGAGAAAGGACATAAATGAATAAATGGAGCTTATGGAAGAACGGATCATTAATTATATTGTCAGAATTGGTTATAATTCTTCTAAGAACAAAAACCTTAGAATTTGGCTCGGTACAGCCAGCTGAGGAGTTCTCGGAGTTGAAGTCCACAAGTTTTATTAAACTACACCCTTGATGTATATATTCTTAAGAACTGCCAAGCGTTTTTTAATTAATGGATAGAATAAATTTACTAGCCATTCCCTATGCTCTCTGATCCATTATTGAATATGAAATTGGCATCTATTCACCAAGTTTGGCAATCTGTTCATACAGTATAAACTTGTGGTCTGATAAATGAAAATTTGATTGAAATTGTAACTAGTGGAAACAAGATGAAAATCAAGCCTTCTCCAACTTGCTGTCTTTCAAATATGTTGAACTGGAATTCCATAATTCTAACTAGTGTGGAAATTATGCTTGCAATTTGAGAAAATGCAAAATATTCTATCCCAAATATATGGAATTGCTCTTTATCTCATAGACAGTAATTCTGCATAGGTTTGCCTTGGCTATCAGCTTGCCGGTGGCCATTCTCTCCATAGATATTCTAATAAGATTTTCTGAAAAGTTATGAATAGATCAGGGGTGTCAAACTGCCGGCCTCAGGGCCGGATGCGTCATGCCCACCCCATTGCCAGCAATGGAAAAAAAGTCACAATACTCTGCGACACGTCACGTGATGTTGCGACTTTGACACCCCTGAGCTAGATAGTAGTGGCTGCTTAACTATACTATTCACATAAGCATAGTATAGTTGGACCATAGTGGACTGTGCTTTTCTCCTGAGCAATAACTGAAATAAAGATTTGACTTAATGAGCAATAAAGCATGCATTAGGAGAGACAGTTGTTACTTAAAAATGTGGAAAACTGAAAGAGAAATGTCTCTATGTGTGGCATTTAAAAAGATGACATTATTTATATATACCTCCTTAGTGTTGGATTATTGAAGCCACTATTTTTATGGTCCAATTTCAAGTTACAACTACAAGTAATTGAAAAAAATGCCATAATTCATGACAATATCACACTGTTACTAAAGCAATTGAAGTTGGAATAGACAGATAGTTACCCACCTTAATAAAATACACTCAAGTTAATTAACAAAGTTTATACTATAATTTCTCATAATTTAATTAATTTTTACTATAGAACTTCGTTAAAGTCACGTATATATATGTGCTTGTTTTCTTTCATGTATTTTTCTAGACTGCTCTGGCACATCTAGAGTCTCTTGCAATTGATGTTGAGCAGGCTCATCCACCAGCTAGTAAAGAGAGCATAGATTGTCTGCCACAAATTATTATTACAGAAGATCACAATGGTAAGGATAAATGACATACTCACTGTTCTGGTCAAATAACTTTATATGATCTAATACAGTGATTCTCAACCTTTTTAATGCCGTGACCCCCAACCGGTCGTAAGTCGAGGACTACCCAACCGGTCAGAATGGGACTTTTGGCGGGCTCAGCAGGGCAGAGACAGCCTGGACAATTCCTATTGGCTTTTGAAAGCCAATGGAATTAGACTCTATTCAAGAGAGTCTATTCTATTGGGTTTCAAAAGCCAATAGAATAAAAGGGAGTAGCACAGCTAAGGAAAAGGGGGGGGAAATGGCGGACTGCATTGTTTGGCGACCCCTGTGAAATGGTCGTTCGACCCCAAATGGGGTCCCGACCCACAGGTTGAGAACCACTGATCTAATAGTATGATATTATGTTATTTATTGTTTATAACTTAATTTGGTCCAAAACTATTTTAATTTATTAATAACTATCTCACCATAATTTTTAATAACCTAGTTCTACATTTGAATAGTAATATGCATATTTTTTTTCCTAAGCTGTAGGGCAAGAGCAGTGTTGTGCTATTTGCTGCAGTGAGTACATCAAAGAAGAAATTGTAACAGAGCTTCCATGTTGCCACTTCTTTCACGTGACATGCATAACACTTTGGTTACAAAAGGTGTGTATTATGTTAATACTTTAATGTTGCTTTTAAATTAGGATTTTTTAAAAAAAATTATGTCTATATCTCTATCATCTATGTCTGTCTGTCTGTCAGTCTATATCTATCTATATCTATCTATCTATCTATCTATCTATCTATCTATCTATCTATCTATCTATCTATCTATCTATCTATCTATCTATCTATCTATCTATCTATCTATCTATCTATCTTTTATGGCCACCCATCTATCACAAAGAACTTTGGGTGGCCAACAATAATAAAAAAATACAATACAATTAGAACAAAAACATTTTAGACAACCAACCAAAAAACCCCAATGTTGAGGCCCTGATAAAATTTGCATCCATCAATCAACCATACTCTGCTGATCCCATCCACATCCTGGCCCCAGTGCCTTAGCAAAAGCCAGGTCTTCACTGTTTTCTGGAAAGCCAATAGGGTTGGAACCATCCATACCTCTAGGGCAGGCTGTGACAGAAAAGACATGCTTCAAAGGTTCCACAGGTGACAGTTTCATAAGGGAATTTGTTGCATGCCTACCCTATCCATTAGGGGTAGGCAATTGCATATGTAACCTGACCCTGTGCCATGTAGCACTTGAAAGATCATAGCCAGCACTTTGAATTACATTCAGAAGCTTACCAGAAGCCAGTGCCATTCATCAAAGAATAATCCAATATGATCACCACTGCCCAAGCTACTGCATTTTAGAGCATCTGTATCTTCTAAATGCTTTCAAGGACATTCTCACATACAGCATTTGCAGTAGTCTAGTTGACTAAGACATGAGTGACTGTAAGCAATGCTTCCTGATCTAAGATATAATAATAGTAATAGTAATAATAATAATGTTGGAAGGGACCTTGGAGGTCATCTAATACAACCCCCTGCTCAGGCAGGAAATCCTATACCATTTCAGACAAATGGCTGTCCAGTCTCCTTAAAATCTTCCAGTGTTGGAGCATTCATAGCTTCTGGAGACAGGTTGTTCACTAATTAATTGTATTTGGGCAAAAGCTCTCCTAGCCACAGTTAAGTCCAGGAGAACCTTCAGATTGTACACCATCTCTACTGGTGGAGTGTAATTGTAATTCCAGGCAGAGTTAAAGATGGCAAATCACTGGATGGGGAAAGAGGGGGCAAAACCCACAGTCATTGAGTCTTGTCAGGGTTGAACTGAACCCAGTTCATCTCTTTTATATCCATATAGCCTTAAGGCACTGAGAAATATCCATTTATTTTACTGCTTAAGATCAGTGACTTAATTCAGTTCAGTCTTGGTTGGAAACACATCAACAGTAGCACTCCATATTGATGTGCTTGACTGTGATTAGCTGTATTGGTATGGTACCTCACAAGGTTGTTATTGTGGGGAAAATAGGAGGAGAAATGTGTGTTAGATACATTGGCTGCCTTGAACTATTTGTAAAAACTAAGCAGGTTACAAATAAATAAAATTTTAAAATATTAAAAAATAAATTTAATATTTTCTAGGCTTGGGCAAAGCATTTGAAAAGGTGCTTTGCAAAACAAGTTTTATGAGCAAAGCAGTATCCTTGAAGAGTTAAATGATTTCTCAAAGGTTTAAGATTCCCTGCTATGAAAGAGACGGAAATTTCCATTAAGTACCAGGCAATTAAATAGATCTTCATATGCCCTAATAAGCGAATACTGAATACAGTACTGAATACTGTTAAGAACACTCAGACTTCCTAGTAAATAGTTTTAAATTGATAGTTACCCAGTGTAGAGAATTTACAGTCTCTTCCAGATCTCACAGCACTTCTGAAGAGTTTTATTTTAATAAACCATAATTTAGCTAATTGTTTTAACTTGTGTGTTAAGTCTTTTATAATGGGCAAGGTGGCTGGATTATCACATGAACAAAAAATTACAAAAATCCCTGCTGTGCTTATCAGTTGTGAATTAATCTCATTCCATGGACTTATATATATATTTAAAGAGCCATGGGGAAATGAATTAGATTTCACATAGAGATTGCCATTTGATTGGAAAATATCTGAATTTAATTGAAGTGTACTTGCCTGCTTCCTAGGATAATATATGGTATATGTTAAACACGTGGATCTTATGTAGTGTCTAATACTAAGAACTTTATTAAAATATCCAGTGATATTGGGGTTCTGTATATCATATAACATTGAAAGCAAAAGGAGAAGGGGAGGGCAGAAGATGAGATGACTAGTGTCATTGACGCAATGAACATGAATTGTCCAGGAGGCAATAGAGGACAGGGGAGACTGGCAAGCTCCCCCGTCCATGGGGTCACGAAGAGTCAGACTTGGCTTAGTGATTGAACAACAATCTCACATAACACACATTCTCTTGTATGTAATTAAAATTAATACTGTCAAAAAGTAGAAACCATTATGAAGCTGACATGAGCATTTTAAAGGAGGCAACATAAAAATGTGAACCTATGTCTTTTTAGCTTTTTTTGCTTTCTCTAATTTGCAGTTTTTCCCTAAATATATTTCGAGACTGTACATTTGACTACTCTTGAATTCCTGACCTGAATTGTATTTAAACAGTGATGTTTTCTCTTGGCTAGTCTGGAACGTGTCCTGTTTGCCGCCATGTGCTTGCCCCTGGGCTTTCGGAGACAGCCGCTCCCATATTCACCTTCCTGTCCGACCAGGATTATACTACAGTCCAGAGTGCCTCGGGAACACAATAAAGGAATACCTGAACAAGAATTTAGCCCATCACATTGTACTGTAAAGTTCTTTTATTTAATGATAACATGAAATTGGTTTTGTGTGTGCGCATGTGTATGTAGCATACTGTACACACATACACAAAAACATGTAGAAATTCCAACACACACATTTGCAAGAATATACGAGCTTACAAAATGGTTTAGAATTATAATAAGAATAACAGACTGAAAAACAAAAAGGTTGCACTAGTTTTCTGCCGTAAACTTATTGCTCTTAACTAATGTGTCATGGTAATTATTCAGTTTGTCTTGAAAAATGATCATTAATGTGGCACTTATAGTCAAAGTAATGCAGCTGCAGTGCAGTTGGAGCTTACACAAGTTATGCATATGATATGTTTTACTTAATATAATTTTAGATGCTGAGATTATTTCTTTTAAAATAGTGCCACTTAATTACTCTGTATATAATTCTTTCATATTTGCATCAAATGTGAAGATGTTCTGTGATAACATCAGTAGCATACTTTGGTTTCACTGAAAATAAACAGCATATAATCAAAGAATTACCCTGTGATTTCATCATGACCTCTATGTTCATAAGAGTGTTTGTGACTAGTACAAAATAGGTTTAATTTCAATTATTTTACACAGTTCAAAATCTGCACTTTCACCTTCCCATTATAAGAATTGAGGAAACAGCAACGGAATTATAGAAGGCTTATAGAGCTAAATAGTTTGGTACTAGAAGACTCAGCAACAGACTTTCATTGGAGCGACAGGAATTCAAATCAGGATAGGCACATTTTAATAAGTACCATATTTTCCGGCGTATAAGACAACTTTCTAAACCATGCAAATCTTCTCCAAAGTCAGGGGTTGTCTTATATGCCCAGTCGTCTTATACACCGGAAAATACCGTATTTTCCAGCATATAAGATGACTTTCTAACCATGCAAATCTTCTCCAAAGTCGGAGGTCGTCTTATACGTCCAGTCGTCTTATACGCCGGAAAATATGGTACAAGTATTGCAATGCTATAATATCCATGTAATATTGTTACACAATGGAAATCAGTTGACCCATTATTACAGCACTAAAATAGCCTCACAGTGCAGTTTCTTAATGCATTTAGTTTCTGCCTTATAGTATTGTTTTGAGTGAAACAGCAGTTCATTTCAGTAAAATACTTAGACAAAGTTCTATCCTCTTATTAACTGTATTCACTATTATATATTACAGAGAGATGAATCAAACAAAAGTGTTTTGAGTGTTAGAAATTAGTTTCTTATAATTAAATCGAGATAAAGCATACATTAAATGGAGATATGGTGTAGGTTATTTTACTGTACAATGCCATAAGATATGCTTTCAGAGGTCCTACCCAGGTCTTTTTCAATTAATTTAATATTAGCTAGATTGAGCCTTTATAGAAAAAGAATCTATTTAATGACTGCATTTTTTTCTTCTTAACTGTAGTTAGAATCTATTCTCCGTTGTTTCCAGGAAAAATACATTTTGTAATAAAACAAGCTCAGTAGAGGATTGTGGGGGTGGAAATCAGTGAGGGAATAATCCAAAGTTTTACCCAGAAAGCCATCAGCTAACAATTTCTAGAGTAGAAGAGAAAAACAGTTGGGCTCTGTTTCAAAATGGAATAGACTAATTATTATTAAGACTTTCAGAGCATTATAGCACTCCCACTCCTGCAAATTCTTGCATTGCTGAGGACACAACCTTACCATGTTTTTCAAGACTAAAGGAAAAAGAAATTATGTTCTCAGTTGCCTAGTTACAAGATGTTTTCTTTCATCTTTTCTAAAAAGACCAGGTAAAAATTCATAGATTATTTGGTGTGGAAAAACAAACTTTAGCATAGTGGAAATTAAGACAAATTCCTTTTTTAACCACAAAAGACTAGGTTCCTCTGGCTTCTTGGTGACATAAATATATCATGGCAAAAATTGGACATTTTCTATTCTCAGCAATATAAAAAATGCTTCTTGAGAAGTAAATTTCATAGACTTCCTGAATAAACAGGCATTCTGCAATTAAACTATATTGCAACTGAGTTTTTGTACAACTATATAATCTAGGGGCACGATCAAAATATATGATCATATAGCTCACATATCTTCTGTATTGCAGAAATATAGCTGCAGAGAACTATATTCTGCTGTTTCCTTTCTCCCCTCATTACTAAGCAGGTTTACATGCTTTATTGTTTTAACATCTGATACATTCCAATGTTGAAACAAATACCTTTAAACAGCATTATGGCAATGGTTAGTTAAGTTGTAACTACTTATAATCTGAGGAATAATCATACAGCAGATTTCATTTTGTAACATTTCTTTCAATTTGAGAACATAAAGTCTGTAAATTGAACTGCAAAGAGAAGCAAAAAACAGCTTTTCTTTAGACTTCATAGGCAAGCTCTTAGTCCACAAATCTCATGGAAAACTCAGTAAATAAAGAGTACATGAATTACCGTGTCATTTAAAATGTTAATTTTCCACCCTGCATTTTGGCTTCTCTTACATGCAGAGCATCTGAACAGCCATTCAACCAGTACTGTATCTATAGAAACAGAAACAGAATGTAAGGTAATGACTGCCATGAGCATATGGCAACAAATGTTATGCTCCTATCCGGCCATACAAACAGAAAAAAAAACACATATATGCAAGGCAAAGTGAAGTAAATAAAGTCAGTAGTGTTAGAAAGTGAAAAAGCAGTGTTAGTAGCCATAAATTTTAGGGTTTCCTCTTGTCCATCAGGAGATTTCATCTCAACAAAATGTCTGCAAATGTCAGCCAATCCTAATCACATACAACTGGAAGCTACATCAAGAAGAAAAGTTTGTAATTCTCCCCATTCATAGAAGAAAGGTTCTATACAATCAAGATTTCAGCAATTTGAATTGGGGTGCTGAAAACTGTTGGGGAAAGTAATGCAACTATTAGCTGTTGAATGCTCATCAAATAGCTTTTAGCAGTCAAATAATGAATGAGTCCACCAATCTAAGAGCTGATTGAGTCCAATAGGAACTATTCATTCTTTCTAAATCTAAATTATTTGGGGTTGTGTGCTCTAGTATTAGATTAGTTTTATCTTTTATTGTCCTAATGCCATCAGTTTTATTTCCTAGAAAACTTTCTGGATAATAGCCTTTTGATGATGTCTACATAAACTTACAATATGTTGCTGTTCATAAATATTGAAGTAAGTCCCAAATACTACAAGCAGTATTTTTCTGTACAGAAATCCCTTGGCATGCTGGCTTTGGCAGCAAGTAAGCTGCCTTTCCTCTGTTGTCTATAAAACTTTTGACCACTGGCTTTTCATTAGAAATTAATTTTCTCTTGGTCTCTTAAAACTTTTGTTCACAGCTTTGATATTTCAGTACAGTGTCATTTCATCCATATTTGAATTTGAGAGTTTTAGCCTTTTCTGTCTTTAGGATAAGAAATGTTAAGTAGGACAAGGATGGGCATTCTCAGACCATACCATGCCTGATATCCACAGTGGGTAGAGTTGAACAATTTGGATGTATTCCTATTATTACCAGAGGTATAGCCGATCTTTCCTTTACAAGCTTAAAGTGACATGTACAGCACTCTGCAACCTTGCAAAATATGTTAGGCTAAGGGAGAAGGATGTGCTCAAGGTCACCTATTGGACCTTCACAGCTAAGGTTGGATTTGATTAGATCAACTTAATCAGGATGCCACATGGGTTTTATTGTTTGAACAGATGCTTCAGATTTGTAGATTAAAGACCCTATAAAGACCTTTTAAATCATAGCCTTCCTCCAATTAATAGAAAGATAACAACTGAGCACAACAGATATGCCCTCCTGCAAGATGCTACCCGTTTCACCCTTTAAATCCTAGTACATACACCTCCATTCTAGTTATATCAATCACTAACTACAACCCCTTTAAACTCATTGAAGGATATAGCCTCTTTGCAATTGCTTCTCCAGCTTTAAAAAGTTGCACAACCTTGTGCTATGATGTTAGCATGTAAACTAAAACCATTTTCTCTGTGTGGAATTGAACTACTTTCTCCATGCTTTCTGGTTGTGTGTAAAAAATAAATTGTTTCTCTGTTTGAATATTATTTGTTTGAGTTAATTCTTCCCATTGCTTGTTAATGTAGAAAGTGAAGCTGAATTAGTTTTCTTTTACTATTTCTATTTCCCAAAGTGCAAAATGAACAGATTTTGTGGTTTACATTGCACTGGGTTTAAAACTTCCATCTCTTTGGCTTATGAATATATATACACATATACACAAGAATCTCTAGCAACAGCATCAGAGTAATGCATGGGAACCACTAGAAAAGGAGATGAACTTCCTCCTTTTTACTTCACATTAGGATCCAAGCCATCAGGTCTACAAGAAAATGCCTATCACTTCAGTATAAGAAAGAACAAAAGGGAGGTGACAAGTCCTCCATATAAAGTGGCTTCTGCAGTTCTATTCTAGCCTTGTAGAAATATCCCAGAATGTAGTTAATGAAATTATACTGGTAGGATTCCAGGCTACAAATTCCATTAGATCCTATATACTACACACTGTTGAAAGTAGATCCATTCTTATTATAACTTCGATGCTGCAGAAACTAGGTCAATAAGAAAAATTGACCAAGACTTCAATCTTGTTCCAAGGTAATTTCACTGCATCCTGCCAGTCCTTAATTCAAGATCTGTGAACAGATCTAAGCTCCAGCTTAACGGTTTCTAGTTAAGCACCTACATCACGGGTGTCAAACTCATCACGTGATGTGTTGTGACGTATCACAATTCTTTTTGCATTGCTGGCAATGGGGTGGGCATGGCTTCAGTATGATGAAACTGGCTCGCGGACCGGCAGTTTGACACCCCTGATCTACATGAATGGCAGGTCCTATTACAACATTAGCTAGGATCACCATGGTAATAACTTTGTAAATTTAAAATGATACTGATAATATAAAATTCAAAATTGACATACAAACTAGGCTGGAAGTAGCAGAATGAAATTCAGCAGAGATAAGTGCAAAGTCTTTCACTTAAGAAATAAAAAATGCCACATACAAGTACTGTGCAAAAATGCTGTAAATTAAGAATGCGTTCAGAAATAAAAGTGTTCATAGTTTAATTTTATCAATTAAAATGGAAAATAAATGAACAGAAGATAAAATTCAAATCAAATCAATATTTGGTGTGACCACCCTGTGCCTTCAAAATGGCATCAATTCTTCTAAATACACTTGCACACTGTTTTTGAAAGAACTTGGCAAGGTTCCTGCATGGTTGTTCCAAACATCTTGGAAAACTAACCACAGATCTTCTGTGGATGTAGGCTGCCTCAAATCCTTTCTGTCTCTTCATGTAATCCCAAACAGACTTGATAATATTGAGATCAGGGATCTGTGGGACCAAACCATCACTTCCAGGACTTCTTGTTCTTTATACTGAAGACAGTTCTTAATGACATTGGCAGTGTGTTTGGGGCCAATCACACTCCCCCCCAATGGTATGGCATTATGGATAGGTATCTGCCTGTATTTCTCAGCATTGAGGACACCATAGATCCTGACCAAATCCCCAACTCCATTTGCAGAAATGCAGCCCCAAAATTGCAAGGAACCTCCACCAGGCTTCATTGTTGCCTGCAGACACTTATTATTCTGTTACTGTCCAGCCCTTCAGCAAACAAACTACCTCCTGCTACAGCCAAATATTTCAAATTTTGACTGATCAGTCCAGAGCACCAACTGCCATTTTTCTGCACCCCAGTTAACTATGTTTTCATGCATAGTTTCTTGTTTCTTGTGGTTTTGGGGCTGCAATTCTTTTATGAAGACTACTTTTGATCAGTGCTTCTCTAGACAATAGGTGGGCCTACCTGGGTCCTACTGGTTTCTGCCAGTTCTGTGCAAATAGCACTTCCGGACATCTTCTGATGTCAAAGGGAAATAAGCATGAGGTGTCTTTCATCTGCTGCATTAAGTTTCTTTGGCCAACCATTATATCTACAGTCCTCAGCATTGCCTGTTATTTTGTGCTTCTTCAAAAGAGCTTGAACAGCACATCTTGAAACCCCAATATGCTTTGAAATTGTTGCCTGGGAGAGACCAAAACTACCTTTTGTCTTGTTCCTGTGCTTAGTTTTGCCATGGTGTATGACCAGTGTATCATTTTAGTAGCAGAGTTTAGCTGTTCCTCACCCAGTTTTAAGCCTCCTATACAGCTGTTTCTGTTTCAGTCAATGGCTGTATTTCAACCCTCATATAAAATTGATGACCGTTAGCACCTGCTTGGTATAACTGATTAATCATAAACCTGACTCTATTCCTACAAAACCTGACTTTGTGCAAGTATAAGAATTGATGCTGTTTTGAAGGCAAGGGGTGGTCACACCAAAAATGATTTGATTTGTATTTCTCTTCTGTTCATTTGCTTTCCATTTTGTAAATCGATAAAAATGAACTATTAACACTTCTATTTCTGAAAGACTTCTTAATTTACAGGATTTTTACACAACTGCCTAACACTTTTGCACAGTACTGGGTGCAAAAAGTGTGATATTTCTGCTTTGGTTACAGTATTTGTGGAAAATTGTGGAGTAATAGCTGATTGCAGATTGCATATAAGAGAACAGTGTGGCGTGGCTACAAAAAAGAGGTAAGTGCATTGTTAGGCTGAATCAGTGCTTCTCAATTATTTTCTGTCATGCCCCCCTAGGAAGAAGAAAACATTTCGCGCCCCCCGCGCGACTGTAAAAAAATTTTTTCTGTACAGAGGACCGATTTCCGGGTCTAAAAGTCACACGGGCGGGTTTGGCCAATCAGGATAGAGCATCATGTCTATCCAATCGGGTCCTTTGCATGTGTCACGTGCGTTGGCGGTCATGTTGTCCTCCGCGTCAGGCTGCCGCTTGCGAGTGAGTCGGATGATCCGATCTAGAAATCCAATATGACAGTATTTGCCGAGGTCAAATGAGCCCCCCTTTACGGAGCCTCGCGCCCCTCCTGGGGGGCACGCCCCACTATTTGAGAAGCACTGGGCTGAATCAACAAGCATAGATTTCAACATTTTGGAAATAGTAGTTCTATTTTATTTTGTATTTGTCAGATCACACTTTGTATTTTGTTTCCAGACCTGGACATCCTACTTCAGACAGATTAGAAAAAGTTTAGGGAAAGACAATTAAAATGATCAGAGAAAAATTTAAGAGTGTTATTCTTTTGTTGGGGAAATACCTGTCCTGAAACAGGATTATATTAAAATGGGATCAAGGCCGATTCTCTCTCATTCCAGAATGCAGGATACAGAATAATCAGATTTAAGCCACAAGAAAATGACTTCTAATGAAATGTTAGATGACAAGTATGAACAGTACATCTGTAGATGTTTGAAAAATATAAAAAATGACATGGTACTTTGACTTATAAACCAATATAGAGTGAGAAATTAGAATTTCCGTGAATCTCCTCGGCTTTCAACAGCAGCAACAGCAATAGCATCCTATCCTAAGTTAATAGTGGTGTCCACCCCTGCCTTACTCTGAGCAACAGCACTTCAAGTTCCCTAATCTACCAATTGTTGCCCTTTTGGCTGGATTTACCTTCCATCTTCTTCATCAAGTGTAGAAGACTTTGATGGGGATATGCAACCTCCATTAGCAATAAAGGATGACGCATATCTTAAATCCACAACAGGCAAATAATATTCAGAAGAGGCTCAGACAACCACCTTCCTTATTCACTGGAATATAAGTAAAGAGAGGAGGTCCAGCAATCAGACTGGGAAGATTCTATTATTAGAGCCAATCTCAATAAATGTAGTTT